CAAATTTCACATATGAACCAAATTGGGGTGGCTCTGATACCAATTGTTGGATAATTTCCGATTAATCCTAATCGTATCCCCGAAACCGAATGATTAGGACATTGTTCCGAAACCAAATGTTTATGCCCATACATAAACCCTAATGGAACAATCCTAATCCAGACCGAAGAAAACCCCAATTGGTTTCATAGTGAAGAAGAAAACGCATACCTTGGTTAGCCATTCCGAATGCTCCGGGGTATGTAGGTTGTAGGATGTTCCGGTTGCTAGAGCCTGATGGTTTTCCGTTCGCTCCGCTAGAGGGGAATCCAGAGAGAACGAGAGTGCTCCTGATGTTCCTGAATGTTTTGTGAGAATAAGAGGGCTGAATCCTTATGCCTTTCTCTTTTCCATATATATGTTGGTTTTGTGACTTAAGTCACATATCCTCATAAACCAACCCTTATAACATCAGTTACTCAATAAAACCCGTTGCTCTGCAACTAGGGACCATAACCCATAAAGGTAACATTAACGGTTACCACTTAAGTTGCAATATTCTAATTCAGTCCCTTCATCAAACTAGAAATTGTCCGAATGTATCTACACTCATAATATTTCATGACACATATGTCTTTAGCCACCAAATTAATCCATAAGACCATTTTATATATATTGGCTATCTACATAATGGCTATAACACAATTATAGAATTATATTTGTGACCCATAAATTGTCAGAAATTCCAACATAATGTATATATAAGGAATCAAAAGAAATATCAATCAATCTTGAAGGAACATCAAAATTAAAATAAACTATTGGAAGAAATGAAACTTTCAATGAAGATGAGAATGTATAAAGATATTGGGAAAAAAACTTCGGTATATGAAGAAAACAAACTTTTGTTGAATGAATATTTTTGTTAGAAAGAGTAATGCAACTTTTGAATGAATTATTTTGTTAAAAATGAATTTGCACATGTGTTTTGAGAAAAAAATGTTTTTACTTTTAATTTTTTAGGATGGATTGGGTATCCATCCAAATGGATATATCAATGGATATTCATTGGATATAATGGATGGATTTGAATTCATCCATTATCAACATTATCCATTGGATTATATCCATTAGCTCTAATGGATAGATTTTGATGAATTTAACTTGGATGAATTATGAATCGATCGTGGATTATGGATAATTTTACCACCCCTAATTCAAAGCTTATTTAAAGTTTCATTCCTGCTCCCATATTCTTGCTGTGTCCTCCAAAAACTGCTTAACCATGTCACATATTTAGTTGGTTTTTTTTATATCAATTTTGCACCTTTTGCCTACAAAATTTAAAGTACTAGAAACAGAATATCCTAGCAAGCACAATTCTTCAAATTCAAAATCCACCCCATAATCAACCTCTAATATTTCAAAAGAATTAAAATAGTGTATATAATTTAAGAGGAGGGATCCACTTACTCCAAGAGTAAGTGGAAAATGACTTACTCCACATCTTAACCATCAAATCTTTGAAAATCCAATGGGTTAACAACATGATTTCCTAGGAAATAGAGCAAAAGATTTCCTTCTTGAGAAAAAAAGATATTTTGTCCCAAATCATATTCTGTCCAATGATAATGAAGCAAAAACAATAATAATAATAAATGTTTAACATTTGAGAGCACATCTTTTCTCTCATAATATATGTCACTTCATATATCATAAGTTGTGATTGGATGAAGAAAATATTTAAATTAAAAATATAATTATTAAATATTTTTTGATCAATCACATCTCATAATACATAAAATAACACATGTTGTAGAAGAGAAGATATGCTCCACACGATTATCTGAGACAAGACATGATTCCAACTTCAAGAATGTCCCTAAGTCCTACTTAGCTTTCAGTACACCAGAAGAGTAAAAGGATTCAATCATGAGCAACTGATTTAACTTTTTAAGTATTAACATAATGTAACTGCAAGAGTTAGGTATAAGTCCTTAGCAAGCTGCAAATAATCTCAAGACACTGTAATTTGGTTCATATTATTAGACACTCCTTTCCACGGGCCAAGATAATTTATGGACTTTGTACAATTGGTTAAACACAATTCTTAACTAGGGAAATGCAAACTTTGATGTTGATATCTGGCCCCTAGCCTACTCATTAGGGGTGAGACCCGTATGGCCCGATCATGATCGGGCTTAAAAATGGTCGGGTCTCATCGGGTCTAGGGTCAGGTTCAAAAATTAGTCCCCGTCAATATCTACGGTCAGGTAGGGACCAAACATGACCCGTCCCATGGTCACTCACTCATGATGTTTTTATGTGTCTCTGTTCAAATATATACAGAGTAATGATACTTTTTTGGTCGAAAATATCATTGGTTCTCTAATTTTGCATCATATATATATGTTTAATAATATATATACACATATTTTATTTTATATGTTAAATTACATGTTCACAATAATAAATAATGTTTAGAAGATTTTATGTAAAATGAGTATACGTTATATTTAATCGGGTCTAGGGTCGGGTCCGGGTTCATAAAAATGACTCGAACAACATTTAGGGTCGAGTAAGAACAAGCTGTAACCCGTCTCAACCCGACCCATGCTCACCCCTACTACTCATACACACCTTTTCAATATAGAGTCAAGGCAGTGATAAGTTAAGAGTACCATCATGCTCTCAAAACTTTGTAATTGTTGTTGCTCTATTATGAATTCTAATGTAGGATTCAACCCCATATTTACCATTCATTTATGTAATTATATGAATGAAGATTACCGTTCTACTTTTTATGTCTTATTGTGTCCTAACCCAAATTATATGGATCTAACCAAAGATAAGAAGAAGAAAAAATTAAAAGAGAATGCTCATGTCCTCATTAGCAATCAGACAAATTATCTCTATCATGCATACATAGAGGAAAACTATTAAACAAGGTAAAAATGCCATCTAATTTTTTAAATAGCAAACCCTTGAGAGTAATGTAATTATACATTTATACACATATCATTTCATTTCATGTATGCACATTTTATACCATTTCATTCGATACTATAGATAATAATTAAACGTTTATTCAATTGAACTTTCTGAAATAATTAAAAAGCTGATTTTTGATAAGTTAGCTCAAAAAAAGCTAAAAAGGAACTTACTAAAAGATGATAGGTTATTTCAGAAGTTTATTTTCATAAGTTACTTCGTTGATATCAAATAAGTTTTTTTTGTTAGTACTAGGATATTACCCCCTCAGTTTTTTGGTAAGGAACTAATTTCTTTCAGGTTATTTGGTTGTCTCCCAACAAGTGTTGGTATAGCAAATAAGACCTTACACTACTAGACTAACGTTTTGTTGGTATAGCAAATAAGTTGTTTACAAGCTCCTTCCAATACCACTTTATACTAAAATCCTATTACATGGTGTATCATGTAAAAGATGTGCACAAATTTGACTAGATTAGCAATATGCTTTATCGGACACATCATGTTGGTGGGTAGTGCCTACACTTATGAATGTAGAGTTAGAAATAGCAATGCAAGAGAGAGAGGAGCATAACTCAATTGTTTATTTTGCTTTATCAATTCCCCTTTAATGGGTAGTATGTTTTCATTCTATAGTTATAAATTTGGGTAAGGATACTTCCTTAATCAAGATAAAAGTAATAAAAAATAAAGGAAACAATAATATAATAAGATATTTTATCATTTTTATATATATTGAATAATACTTTTAAACCCTCGAAAAAATTTAGTTTGGTTTTGGAGGCATTGCACACCCTTTCATGCCCCACATAGCTGGCTTTTTACAATACCAAGGTGTGTTAGGACCACACCCTGAAAGCCCTTTAAGAACCCCCACCTCTCACCAAGTCTAAACCAAATGAGAACATCACACACAAGTTAAAAGAGAGGAAAGAAAAACACCCCCATCATATTTCCATTTCTAAGAGAGATAAAAATGAAGATGGGTAGTAGTGCAACCATTGGAGGCTCAAAGAGAAGGCTATCATCATCAAACAAAGGAGTTGGAGGAGTCCTTAGTGAACAAAGGGCAAGGCTATACATAATAAGAAGGTGTGTGGTCATGCTCCTATGTTGGCATGATTAGTATTTTCAACACTTGAAGTTCAACCTTGCATTACATGCATAAGAATCAGGGGGGAATACACACGTAAAGATATATACATCCAAGTTAATTTTTTTTTATAGATTGTGCATTTTTAGAATATGGGACAAAGTTATATATTAGCAATACCCAACAAAGTTAATTAAAATGGAAGATAAAACCAACAACTCACATAAGATGTTCCTATCTCACTAGCTAGAAACAACACAACACCTTAACCTACCCAACAAAAATAAAACAAAACAAATTCAACTCAATATATAGACCTTCATAATCAAGGAACAACAAAAGTCATTTACAATAACATGGCAAACTTAACATTCATTCAAACCAAGACATATATATATTAGTATGATTATATATTCATTTAATTCAAATCCAAGACTTCAATTTTATCACCCCACAATATCCTTCAGATTAGCTTCTTTATTATTAAATACTACGAGTTCATATTTATCCAAATGGTCCAAATTCCAGCCATCCATATAACACGTTTCTGCCTTCTAATGAGAGTGAGTATTGCAATAAGTGAGACTTATCATTTGAGAGGAGAACCGATATAAAACCCAACCACTTGTAAATTAGTTGCCGCACCAAGTAGGAGAAGTCGGAGGAAAAAAACATATGATTCATCTTGATTCATTACACGGAGTACACCTTAAATATGGACTATAAGGAGATAATTTATCTCATCCGACCACTAAAATCATGACATATGTACTATTTAATCATTTTCTACAAAAATATTTCTAGAACTAAACAAAACAATACACATTTCATTCCTTTACTAGGAGGAGATAAGTTATCTCCTTGATATATATATATATATATATATTAAAGTTTGGGATATGGGATGGATTGAGAAATCAAAGACCAAAAAGAAACTATGGACACTAAGCATGATCAAAATATGGGGATTACAAGGTAAGCATCTTATCTATTTGTGTTTATAGTTTTTTCATTTGTAATGTTTGGTTGAATTTGACATTACAAGGTAAGCATTTTATCTTTTATATTACACCACAGTGTAAAAAGTTAAGTGGGTCTTCAAATGGAATGATACATCTTATTCCGTTCCTTTCCACACAAAACAAAACTAGCCAAAGCTATGTTCATGAACTGTCCAAGAAGCTTAATATTGTTTTCTGTGCTGTTCACCAGTCGGCAGAGACAAAAATGGGAACATGAACAACCTTTGATCTGGCTCTGACTGTTCTGTGTTTAACTTGTCTATGTTTTTTGACCAAAACTAGAGAAAAATTATGAATGCAATTTGTTCATGAACAAATGTGGGACAGTTAAGCCACACAAATAGCACCTTGTCCAAAATTGATAACAATATGCTTCCACTATGGAAGAGTAGAGTATTGATTCAAGAGTTTTTGGTGCTTAGTTTTTTTTCTTGGCTTTTACCCAAAACAATAATGATATTAATGGAATTTTTTCCTGCACCTTCCTTTATACTTCATTTTTTCTATCTCTTCTCTACCACATTATGAATTATATCTCATTCATCTCTTTCTATATGTCTTCACATTATGATTGACATGATAAAGTTCTTTACACCTTTTGGTTATTATTGAATGTTCAAATGAATTATTTCTATTTAAGAGTAAGTAGGTGTTAACTTGTGAATAATGTGTGAATAGTGTAAAAGAAATCTTTACACTTTTAATGCATAACTTATTTTGTATTTTTTATCATATGATGTTGTATACATGAATTAATCTATCCCGTGTATTTATAGGCCTTGTTTTTTAAAATTTCTTTTGTCCTTTTTATAAGATACTTTATATTTTATATGCATTAATTCTTGCTTTTCCTCTTATTATTTTCATCAATGACATATACTAAACTTGTCAGGATAAAATTTTAATGTTATAATGTCTTTAAAAAAACAATAAAATTAATTACTTTCTCTATAATATTTAAAGACGCTCTGTAATTATTAAGATATATTATATATAAAGTCAAAACATGAAATAACTAAAAAAAACAAGTATTTCAGTTTCACAAAATTTTCATAAGTACCATATTAGTTTATATTTCACACTAATAAATGAAAATTTGAATCCTAAACCATACTTCTTCACCCCTCTAAATCTTCACCCTTCTCCCTCTATTAGTGTATAAAGAGAGTATAACAAAACACTAGAAAGTATAGCATTTTGTTTCTATCCAAAGTATAATTACAGAAAGGTTGATCGAAGTATCAAACCAAGTTTAAGGCCTTCCATTACAGTTAAATTTGTAAAGCAAAGGAAGGCTTAACACTTCAACAAAATGTAGTTGCAAAATATATGCCGAAGAACCATATCAGTTTATTTTCTTGCTGCCACCCCAGGCGATAAAGCTATCCTGTGAACCGAATTCCTGTGGAAAAACAAAAACATGTTAACGTTCAAGAATTTTTTGTTCACATGACAATAAAAATGAATACATTGTAATGCAAAATCGATGAGAAAATAGGAATACCAGCTGACTTAGTCGAAACTCGGAAGGTGTATCATCGGTATTTGCAAGGTCAAGGGTAAGATTTTGGCACTCTTCGATATCCTTCTTCAGATACTCTGGTCCTAGATGAGCATAAATTGATAAACCCGGCTGGTCCTTATGTTTTCCATTTTCCCCATCTCTAGTGGGAGATTGGCTTTGAAGGAGATCATCACACATGAACAATGCTTCGACGAGTTGTTGTGAACTCAATAGATTCTGTGACTCACTGTCCCACCATTTTAGGCCATCCTCAGCATTACTTTCGTTATCATCCATCCCTTCGTTATGTTCACTTTCCACAATGGACACATCAGTTTTTTCAAGCCCTTCACAATCAGCTATAATTTCATCCAAATACTCCATCTGAGAAGGTGTCGGAACAATTCAGTGCAGAAGACAAAAATAGAACAGGAGTTATCAACTTCAATAAGTGCTATTTTCAATTTTCATATACTATATCATCACAACTAGCACCCAGCAATAGTAATCTCATACCACATCATCAATAATTAGAAGTGCAGCTAAGCGGCTTAGCTACATTCTGGGATTAATAATCTATTAATATTCTAGCAATATTGTCTCACTTTGATGTTCAAATAACATGTTAGAATCCCGGGATTGCATCGAGTAACCAAAGCAAAAGAAATAATATGAAAATGTTTGTGTAAGAATGATAAGAAGAAACAGGATTTCATACTAAAAATGTCTAACTTAGCGTGATAGATTTTACCTGAGGCAGGAGATGTGTTTCTTGTCCCAGGTATACATCTGAACACGGTCTTTCATTGTGAGGAAGGTCAGGAGTCACAGATTTGGGAGTGACTAGGCCTACATCTGAACATGGTGTTTCATCACAGGCAGGGTTAAGAGTCACAGGTTTGGGAGTGACTGGTTCCACTTTCAAAATTGTTGCTTCGGTAGTTTCGATGGCTTCAGAAATATCCTCATCATCTTTATCACCCAATTTGTCTTGCTGGTAAAAAACTTTAGAGATAACATACTCCCCATCCTTTTCATCTTGTTCTGTTCCTAGGTGGTACTGATGTGTAACCCAATTAGTCTTATCTGCTTTGCTCGAATATAGAACCATAATCTTTTTATAGCCTTTCTGAACCCCATTCAATTTGACTTCTTTAGTTTTCCCAGTCTTGTGCCAGCGGAGATCACCAGAATCAAGACCTTGTATTTTTCTACGCTTTCGACTACCAGTATTATAAGCCTTGATTGCTCGGTGGAAGAAGTGGGAAACACTTCCATCTTGCTTAATACCTGATTTTTTATCATAGCTTATCATATTGAATGGATGAAAAGAGACAAGATTTCAACATAGAATAAAACTCATGCTGTACCAGGTAAATTTTTAGGATGGGTATAACAGATTCCATCAACTCCTTCAATAGTGGTAATAAACTCATCAATGAAAGGATGAGGTTTTGAACTTTCTTGACCAACTTTTGCAAGCAAGTGCCAAATGATCTCTTGATCAGATGGATCAAATTTCACCCCTTTCGGTAAGCCAGGCCACTCTTGCGCTACCTATGAAAGTTGAATGTCGAAACATCTATAAATATTAAGTGCTATACTTGGGGATATGTCAAAATATCTTGACTTCATTATGTTTTACCCTAAGAATTCAAAGTTATAATTTAATACTAAAATTCTTATACACCTAAAATTTACATTGAGTTCAGTTAAGCTTCAAAACTTGTCCCACTTGGATGCAGTTTATTGTAGCTTCAAATAAGGAATAAGTGCAAAAGCTTCCCATTTCTTATAAAACATTTACACAATATCATTACCTGATTTCAATGAAGTGCCATAAAATCACAGCATGACTTGCATACTCATGATGAAAAGTACTCATAGTTATTTAAATTTGAGTAAAGGTGTAATTAACTAGAGATGCAGCCATGCAGGAGGTTGAGAGTGAACTTATACTTATGAATGGACCTCATAAATAAAGTAAGTTATATGCAATTTCAACTGCCAAAAAAGAAATTCTGGTGAAATCTAATCCGAATAATGGATAGTAAGTTCATTAAAAAAATTAAAAAAAGAGTTACACATACATCGCTGTTGTCAATAGCATGTTGACAATTTGGGCAAGCCTTGGTAGGATTGCTTTTAAATACAACTTTCTCAGGATTATATGCACCTGAAGCACTCTTTATTTTGGTCGCAATTCTACTTTTGTCCACCAACCATGATGGGCTGCATAAACAAGAAGAGATACAAAGTTTTTAAGTATATGACATGTATAGATTTTAGTCAACACAAAACAAATGGCAATAATCAGTTGATCCAAATCAAAGAGATTCAAATGATACAGAGTCTAAAAGTTGGAAACCGTAAAATAATGAATCAACACGGCCATCTTAGCATTACTATGAAGATGGTTTACAAACTAAAAAGGACAACAAAAGTAAGGTTCACAATGTAAATGCCATATCATGACCCCAAAAAATATTACTTGCTTGGGACTCACAAATTCACTGTCTGAATTTAGGCACATGATAAATATCAGAACCCAACAAACATTATGCAATAGACTAGCATTTCCATTTAAACTTCGAAAAAACATTAAAAAAAGGTAACCTACATGACTGCTGTTACCTATTTGTTATTAAACAAGCACATCATTATTATGGTGCGTTCTGCCATGAAATGTATCATCAAATGGTTACAGAATACATGTAATAAAAATATCAACTTTTAATTGATTAATTAGCAAATTATCTTCCGTTTGCTTTTCAATCATAGTACAATGAACACAGTAGATAAGAACTGGACACTGAAATTCAACCAAAATAATGATGATGATCATGATGATGATATAATAATTAAAAAACATAAAGTTATCATTTTTACATGCTACTAGCTAAAACCCCATCAAAGAACAATGAACAAGCAGCGATGTATCGACAAACTTAGAAAGTTAATCAAAATACAAACTTAGAAAGTTCATCAAAATACATAAAAATTATATTTTTGATTATCCACATGAAACTAGCTAACCTCATTTACGAACTTCTGCTTCTCTTACAATCACAGAACAATGAACATCACATTGATGAACCAACCAAACTTAGAAATCTCGCCAGAACACAGACACGAAAAAGCTATAATTTTTCACATGAAACATGTTAATCCCACTTAGAACACAGAAACAAAAGTGGTAAATAAAGCACCACAACAAAAGGGTGCCTCAATAGTGAACACAAGTATAGAACAGTTTCCAAAGACAGTGTTCAGTGGAGAACCAAGTAAAAAAACAAGGTTTAATGATCAAACAGAATAAGCGAGAAGGGAACATACCCAGCCATTGAGAGAGTAGTTGATGATGATGCAAAATCAAGTCAGAGATTCAAAACCTTGTTTTTCTGCTTTCCAAGGATTTTGTCTCTTTTTGTCTTCTCTCCGGTACTTGCGATGATGCAAACAAAAAACAGGGTTTGTTCTTCAATGTTGTTCGAAATATATATGACTAGAGAAACTTAATGTGTCGATTTCTTCTTTGTATTTATTTTCTAAGTCGTATAATTTGAAAGTTGTTTTCTCGTGTTTTGACCAGTCATGAATACATAATAGAAAATGGAAGAAAATCAAATCTTCTCTACTGCTTTATTTGGATTAGAGAAGAAAATGAGAAGAAATAAATGTATGAAATACATACTAAAAAGAAGAATAAAGTTGAGAAATTGAATAAATTTTTATATTATTTAGTTTGAATAAAATGAAATAGAAAAGGAGAAAATAAATTATCATTTCTTATCTACCTCTCTTCTTTGATTGAATAAAAATATCAAGAAAC